GATAACCATTTCAAGCCCACCGACTCCCACAGCTACCTAGAATACACCTCCTCGCACCCACCTTCCTGCAAAAATGCCATCCCCTATTCCCAATTCCTTCGCCTCCGCCGCATCTGCTCCCAGGATGAGGCATTCCACTCCCATACATCTCAGACGTCCTCGTTTTTCAAGGACCGCAACTTCGCCCCCTCAGTGGTCGAGAACGCCCTTGACCGTGTCTCCCACATTTCCCGCAACTCATCCCTCACACCCCGTCCCAGCAATAACAACCAAAAAAGAATCCCCCTCGTCCTCACGTACCATCCCACCAACCTCCGGATTCAACGCATCATCCTCCGACACTTCCGCCATCTGCAATCCGACCCCACCACCAAAGACATCTTTCCCTCCCCACCCTTATCTGCTTTCCGGAGGGACCACTCTCTCCGTGACTCCCTTGTCCGCTCCACACTCCCCTCCAGCCCCACCACACCCGGCACTTTTCCCTGCAACCGCAGGAAGTGCTACACCTGCCCCCATACCTCCTCCCTCACCCCCATCCCAGGCCCCAAGCAGACTTTCCACATCAAGCAGATGTTCACCTGCACATCTGCCAATGTGATATACTGCATCCGCTGTACCCGTTGTGGCCTCCTCTACATCGGGGAAACCAAGTGGAGGCTCAGGGACCGCTTTGCAGAACATGTACGCTCGGTTCGCAATAAACAACTGCACCTCCTAGTCGCGAACCATTTCAACTCCCCCTCCCATTCCTCAGATGACATGTCCATCCTGGGCCTCCTGCAGTGCCACAACGATGCCACCCGAAGGTTGCAGGAACAGCAACTCATATGCCGCTTGGGAACCCTGCAGCCCAATGGTATCAATGTGGATTTCACAAGTTTCAAAATCTCCCCTCCCCCCACCGCATCCCAAAACCAGCCCAGCTCGTCCCCGCCTCCCTAACCTGTTCTTCCTCCCACCTCAAGCCACACCCCCATCTCCTACCTACCAACGTCATCCCGCCCCCTTGACCTGTCCGTCCTCCCTGGATTGACCTATCCCCTCCCTAACTCCCCACCTACACTCACCTTTACTGGCTCCATCCCCGCCTCTTCGACCTGTCTGTTTCCTCTCCACCTATCCTCTCCTCTATCCATCTTCTATCTGCCTCCCCCTCTCTCCCTATTTATTGCTTATGTCGTCTCCGCTACTTAACTTCAACCAATCTACTCAAATCTGTCTCCTCTGGCTACTGGCCCATTTGTTATTGGAAAGTGTTTATCTTCACAAACTATCAAAATTCTTCATGAATAAAACCGAAAGAGCTGCGGATGCTGTAAATCAGAAACATAAACAGAAGTTGCTGGAAAAGCTCATCAGGTCCGGCAGCATCTGTGAAGAGAAATCAGAGTTAATGTTTCGGGTCCGTGATCGTTCCTCAGATCTCTTCACAACCTTGAATGCCTCTTTAAAATCTCTTGGCAATCTTCTTTCTGGAAGGAGAACAACTGAGACAACCGCAGTATTACCATCATCCTTTTGGTAATGCCGAGTGATGAAAATTATTTTATCAATGGTTTTCAACCAAAATATATCACTTTACAATTCTCTGAATTAAGATTCATCACCATGTGTCTGCCCATTTCATCAGTTTATGACTGCATTGGATAAACATATGGATGATAATGGAATAGTTTAGGTTAGATGGGCTTCAGATTGGTTTCACAGGTTGGTGCAACATCGAGGGCCGAAGGTCCTGTACTGCGCTGTGATGTTCTATGTTCTATGCTGGACCTCTGGTACTGTATTCCTTGGTGATTGCTACATTTGAATTTCATGTCATTTGTAAACACTTAAGTTAGGCTTTCTTTGCATGTCCAAGTACAGGTCATTAATATAGATCAAAAAGACCATTACTCCTAATATTTACCACTGTACACCGCTCCAATCTTTGCTTTCTATCCTTTAACCAACCTTGTACTCACAGCCACTGACCCTTTAATCACATGGGCTTTAATTTTGCTAACAAGTCTATTTTGTGGTACTTCTTTCACCACTTTTTAAAAGAGTCCCCGTGTATGTCAACCCTCCCTTCTGTCATCATAAAATTTTGACAGAATTAATAAACATATTTTGCCTTTTTCAAATCAACGCTGACTTTCACTTATTAGCCCATACTTGTCCATGTGCCAATTAATAATGTTCCAGATTACGGTATCTCAATGTTTCCCCGTAATATTAACATTAGGCAGACTGGTGTGCACTTACCGGGTTTTACCTAACACCTGGTTTTTGAACAGGGGTGTAGTGCTTGTAATTTTCCAGCCCTCTGACGCCAACCCCATATTCAAGGAAGTGTGCGCTCAGAGGCGCTGGAATTTGTAACCTTGGTCGTTTCACTGGCCAATTCAGACCAGGTGACTTTGGCACTTGGAGTGCAGCCAAACTTTCGAACATCCTCATACCCCTGTCTCCAATATTGCTATTGTCGTCTTCTTTACTGCTGCACTGTCAACATTCTCTAGGGTGAAGACTCACCTAAAATAATTATTTCCTATATCTTCCTCCATAAAAAGATTTCCTTTTCGATCCTGAGTCAATCCCCACTCTCATCCTTTCTTCGAATACCCTTTCACTATGTTTGTAACACATTGGAGTGCCCTTTTATGTAACTCACTAATATTTCCCTCACTTTGTCCCTCATTTCATTTTTCAATTTCCACTGTATTTTACTTGTTTCTCTACTGAACTAAGAAGCTAACAATCATAATAATTCCATTGCCATAATAATATTTCCATAATTCCATAATAATTGCCCTCTGCGCATTTAGGGATGGGCAATAAATGCTGCCTAGCCAGCGACGCCCTCATCCCGTGAATGAATAAAAAAAAAATTTAATTTGGACCTCTACACTCATATTAATCCAGGGAGATCTAGTTTTGGATGCTTTTCCTTTCCGCTTCATGTGAATTTGTTTAAACTTTCACCTCTTTGAAGTACTCCCCTTGCTTATTTGTGATTTTTCCTATCTTTGATTCTAACACACGTCAGCCAAATACATTATCATTTGAAATTTTTTGTCTTCATTTTTATTCATTGATTCTTGATAACAGGATAACATTACACAGGTGAGTTTAACCCAATGGTATTTGAGATATTGAATAACTGGGCAAGATGGGATTGTGGGTGTTGTATCGAGTCTATTGAGTGACCCGGTGGGCTGGGGAATTGAGTCATCAATTAAACTGGTGAGTTCAGTCATTGATTTACTTGCCTCTCTGGTTTTAGATCTCTCGATGGGCCTCATGTTCACAGGCTCAGATGACGGTGATGGAAGCTCTTCAGGCACTTGATCAGATTGTGGATGAATCTGACCCTGATGTTGATTTTCCAAACTCTTTCCATGCCTACCAAACAGCAGAAGAAATTCGGAAGGTCTATCCTGGCCTAGGTAATCTATCTAATTCTACTGAAGGAGAGGCTACTGAGAATGAACTGAATACAGATACATAGCATACTCATCGAGATTCATACACAAACACATAGGGAGGGAAAGCCAAACTAAACACAGTCAGACACGTACAGAAAGATAAGTAGACAAACGTAGGTAGGCATGGACAGTTAGAACCAAGGACACAGATAGTAATAAATTTCTGTAGATGTGAAAGAGTGGTTCTGTGGATTCTAGAACATCATGTGGTACAATATGTGATAATGGTTATAATGTTTGATTTGGGACTCTTTCAGCACTGTCACTAACCATGCTGCACTTTCACAGTGCTGTCCCATGATGGTGCAGCTCTCAGTAGTGCCCCCTCTGTTGGCTTAGCATTCCTTCAGAATAGTCTCTCAAACAGTGTACCACTCCTTCCACTAAAACTCCTCCTGCAATGCTCCTTCAGTACTGCACCTATCAAATTACCTTCTCTTGTATTGCCCCACACAGTGTAATGCTCCCTCAATACTAACTGACAACACAGCACTTCCTCAGTACTGCCCCCTTCAACAATGCAGCACTCGGTCAGTACTGAAATCAAAGACAAGTGCAGTGCTCCCTCTGTACTGTGCCTCCAACAGAGCAGCATTCCCTCAGTACTAACCCCATTGCAGACCTCCTTCAGCATTGCCCCTCAAAGTGTATTTTTCCCCAAATACTATCCCCAAGAGTGCTGTGCTCCCTTAGTACCGCCCTTTGGCATTCTAAGCACTGCCACATGGCAGTGCAATGATGCTCTATTATTTCTGCCCCTCTGACAGTCCAATTTTGCTCCATTACTACTGCCCCTCTGACAGTGCAATGCTGCTCCATTAGTCCTGCCCCTCTAACAGTCCAATTGTGCACCATTAGTTCTGAGGAAGGGTCACTGGACCCAAAACATTAACTCTGATTTCTCTTTGCAGATGCTGCCAGACCTGCTGAGCTTTTCCAGCAACTTCTGTTTTAGTGCTCCATTAGTCCTGCCCCTCCGACAGTCCAATTTTCTACATTAGTACTGCTCCTCTGACAGTGCAATGATGCTCCATTAGTACTGTCCCTCTAACAGTGCAGCACTCCCTCAGCACCATCCCTCAATCAGATTCTTCAGGCCTGACTGCTGGAGGGTCAATATTGGATAGGGTTGGTGGTGTCGATTGATGAGGATTGGGGAATTATGAGATGCTGCAATGAATGTATGTATGTTCTATTTTTATTTTGTAGACTGGCTCCAGCTGGTTGGATTGCTGCATGATATTGGGAAAATCCTCATTCTCTGGGGGGAGCCACAGGTAAGGACATCAATCCTGAGTGTAGTGAGACTCTTAGGAGATCTCAATGATGATTGTTGCATTTACCTCTAACAGATTGTATCTACTACCCACATGAGCACAACTATAGGAACATGAGGTCATTCCAGCCATCCCTATGGGGATGTTCCACCATTCAACTAGATCAAGGCAGATCTTTATCTTACCCCTATTGGTTACATCAACATCTTAGGCTAATAAAAAAAATTATCAATTGACATTCTCAAATTTTCAATTGATCTCCAGCAGCCACAGGCCAGATTATGTGAAGAAGTTTTTCTATCATGCTGAATCATCACGTTCTTATTTTAAGGTTACATCCCGCTGTTGTAGGTTCCCTTGCCAGCGGGAACAGTTTTTATTGTATACTTTATCAATTATTTTAGCCATTTTAAACACTTAAATTAGATAACCTCTAAATTTTCTCCACACATTTCTAACTGTAACGTCACTGCCTGCATCCCACCTCACACCAAATCCTCTTCCCCAATCAGCCTTCTTCCCCTGACTCAAGTTCCACTCCCTACAGATACCAATCCTAATGCACACATTTCAACACCATCCTACTCCTCCAGATCGCTGCACACTCGAAACCTGAGTCCCTGACGGCCAGTTATTAAGTGATGGCAATGCAGAAGTGAAAACTCTGTGCTGGCACAAAGCCTGCTTTTTGGACCGTGGATTTTTTTTTTGTGTTTTAATGAAATGTGGCTGTTTTCTGTTCACAGTGGTGCGTGGTTGGAGACACCTACCCAGTTGGGTGCAAGTTTCAGGATTCCATTGTTTATAGGGACTCCACATTTTCAGACAACCCAGACCTTAAGGACCCTAGATACAGGTAAGAGGCTCTGCTCATAATTTTTCCTTGTTGAAGTCCCTGGAGGGTTTCAGCTGTAGGGACAGGGTGAATAGGCTGGGTTTTTTCCCCCCCTGGAGCATCGGAGGCTGAGGGGCTACATTATAGAGATTTATAAAATCATGAAGGGCGTGAATAGGGTGAATAGCCAAGGTCTTTTTCCAAGGGTGAGGGAGTCCAAAGCTAGAGGGCTTAGGCTTAAGGTGATTTAAAAATGACCTGAAGGATAACTTTTTCACGCAGTTTGGTGCATGTATGGAATGAGCTGCCCAGGAAGTGGTGGAGGCAATAACAATTACAACATTTAAAAGGCATCTGGAAAGGTATACGAATAAGCGTTTAGAGGGATACGGGCCAAATGCTGACAAATGGGATTAGGTCAGATTGGGATGTTGGGTTGGCATGGACGAGTTGCACCGGTGTTCGTTTCCATGCTGTATGACTCTGAATTAAATCTTGCCACCATTAAAACACCAC